GAATGACATTTGTTCAACATGGTTTTGAACTTATGAGCAACACAGTTTGCATTTGAAGTTTTTTGTCGCTAAATAGTGTGAGGGAAGTTAATTTTATGATATGAATAATGTTATGCAAAAAATTCTATTTAGTATTGTAATGTAGATCCCATTTTATTTCCTAAACAAATTTCAAAATGTTCTGATTAATAATTTTTCCTTGCAAACTTTGTTTTTTCTAACTAAAAGACAACGTGTAAAGTTTATTACTTGAGTGCCATGCTAGGGTTTAAGATTCTTTATGAAATCATAGTTCTGGCTGTGGAGTTACAAATTTACCCTGGAAATAATTTGTACAGCTACATGTAATTACATCTATAAACATAATATATTTTAAAACGTCATTGTAGAAATAATTTTCTCATCATTGATTAGTTCGATTTTTACTTCGATGGTTTTCCCCCTTTTTTTCCGAATAGTCTGACTAGTAGTTAACCAATTTACTGAATTGTTAACTTGAGAGTACAAGTAATTTTAAAGGAGAAACATATGCAAAATAAGCTAGACATCAAACATACGTACATATATACATACGTATACATATTTCTATTAATCATTCTATAATAAGGTTTGGGTTGATTATGTATATATGATTTCACAAATAATCATCATTAAATAATCATAGGTCTAATTGCACAATTTTTTTTTATTTTTTTTAATTATCTTTACAGAACATTATTAGCTTAAACTTAACTTTTATCTTTTACAATCGAATCTTTTTTTATTCTTGAAAGTGCAAACAGCACATATGGTGTACTGTAACAAACCATGATGCAGAAAACAGCCTTTTGTGAAATCAATCTTGGAATATATATTGAGAATAATAAGCATGGGAAAGTGAAAATCAATGGAAAGGATGGTATTTCCTCTCTATAAAGAAGAAAAGCTTTGAACAATAAAAAAATCAATTAAGTCTTACCCTCAAATAAGTTTGACTATCAAATCTTTTTTAGTATTTCTTACATTCGTTTGAGCGTCTAACATTGATAACTAGTTTTGAACAAGAAAGATAATTTATATGTGAATGTTGGTGTTGAACGAGTTCATTAATAAGGTAAGGAACTATATAAAGATGTTATTAACTAAATCTTATCTTCAACGGAGTTATTTATGTCCATGGGAGATTCGATAATGTACTAAGTTTTTAAATTGTTGATGACGAGATTCGAAATATTAACTTTTTTATATTCTATATTCACATTAAATCAAATTATCTAAAAATACGTATAAAGGATCACAAGAACGATAATTTAATTATTTGTGAATTTTTGTGTTTAGCATAGTATAAAACAATAAATATAAGGTGCAGAATGGCCCCTTGGGACATATCCTAGTGATGCAAAGGATAAGAGTGAGGTAATCTTAATCTTACTGACAGTCACAGTGTGAGGGTTGAATTCCTGAGATATGAAATTAGACTCTTTATAAGCACCAGTGTACAGACAAACTCTTCTTCCTTGACCTGTTGAGAAACATCCTTCAATTTACCTCCTTCATGATACTTCAGGATTGGGACGATAGGGACTTTCAAGGTTGGAGTTCAACCTTTAATATAAGGTGTAGAATGTGTAAGCATGCTGCAAGGCTAAAAGGAAAAAGGGCTAAAAGCAAAGGCAAGCTTGCCCATACTCTGATCTCACATTCCCCTATCACCTTTTCGTCTTGATTTGAACTTTTGTGGGCCTAATCAAATAATTATAGATTTTTGCTTTGATGGAATAATTAATTGACAGCTTATTCCTCCTTATTTATAAATTGGAAAGTTAATTCTTTTCTCTGATCCATATCTCACTTGTATAATTAATTATACCATGACCACAAACAAACAAAATCATCAGAGAATGCTCTGGTTCTCACATCTTTATTTTATTTTACATTTACTTTTATCCTCTAAAAATTCGTGATAGAAACTCTATCATGTAAATTTTTTGTCACACTTCATTATTAAATTATAATAAAGAAAATGCACCTAAAGAAAATGAGAAAATAAAAGACAGACCGTACTAAACCATATAATTATTCTTGGAGGAGGTGTTCTTAATGGATTCCAAACATGCTCCAGGTCTACAAGTATCAGACGAGCAGTTTTGTTTGGACTTTATAAAAAATGGAGTTTTTTTCCTCAAATTCTTCATTTGATTTCATTAATTTTCAATTTTTTCAAAATAATGATATTGTAATCACAGTTCTTTCATGCTTATGCTGTATCAGTTTTATTCGAGCAACTATTCTTATTTAACTGAATCGAAAGAAATTGAGAATAAAATTTAATTTGTCATAGTACTGAAAGATAGGAAACCCTAGCTAGTTGCACAACTTGGCTTTGATGGGGAGAGAGATCATTTGAAAAATAATGAAAAGAAGAGAAAGGTACATAAACACAGGTGTATGTCACATTATATGAATTGTAAATGGCTGCAGGATCTATGGTTAGGCTTTTCTTGCTAGCCACTGCCAGAGAGATGATTGACAAACTATTACTATAAGCTACTCATCCTGCTTATAAGTTTCCTGATTAATTCACTTGCAAGGGTATGGTAGAAAAATAACTCATATAAAAATAATTTCTTTTTCCCTTTATTCTAGGATCAGATCAGCATGAGAATATTTACAAAATTTATTGATGTAGCTGAGTTTTTATTTTTGAGAAATGAGAGAAAGTTTAAGAAAAAATAGTAGTAGAGAATATTAGTTACAAAAATTTTACAATAAAAATGCAATATCTAAATTTGACTAAATTAATTACATTTGCATTACAATCAAACTGAAAAATTAACACAAACGAAATATGGAAATTACCCTTGAAGCGTGATTAATTTTAATCCTGAAAAAAAAGACTCAATAGCTAAGAGCTCAAAATCCTTTTTGAATCGCCAAGCTTCAAACACCAAATCTTCTTTAGTATGTTCTATTTATCAAGATTGTCAATAACAAAAAGAAGTATTAAAGTACAAAATAAAATCAATCCACTACAACAAAAACTACCTTTCGCAACAGTCAAAAAACGTTGCTATAGACCTTTTGCACGTTCGAGCGTATGTTGTAGGCTTTGATATTGCCATAGAGTGAAAGGTTTTTGCAACATTCATTGCGGTTTTTTGCAACGTTCAATGAATGTTGCATTAAAGTTTTTCACAACATTCATTGAACGTTATCTTTATATTTTCTGCAACGGTCAATGAGTGTTGCATTAGGATTTTTCGCAACGTTTAATACTTGTTGTCTTAAGGTTTTTTGCAATGTTCAACGCATGTTGTCTTAATGTTTTTTGCAACGTTCAATGCACATTGTCTTAAAATTTTTCACAACGTTCAACGCATTGTCTTAATATTTTTCACAACATTCAACGCACATTGTCTTAAGGTTTTTTTGCAACGAGCGTTGAACGTTGCAAAAGTGTTATATTTTTGCAATGTTCAAAAAGTTAAACTAAAGTGATATTGGCAACATTCATCTAAAGAATGTTGCTAAAACTCAATAAAATTAACTGATCGCAACATTAACTTATTAGAATGTTGCTAGAAATTCCTTTAACAACATTTAATCAATGAATGTTGTCTTTTGAGTGTAGCAAAAGAGTATTTTTGGAGTAGTGATCCACTAAAAACTAACCAGGATCAAAACAGGAAAATACATTAGATGGCGAGCTATATTTGAATTAATCTACTTGTACAATGTTTGTTTACAAATTAAGTGCTCTCAAGATCTAAACCCTCGATTTTCATTAATTTAAAAAATTATTTTTGAAATGATTAATCCAGATATTGTCAACACGTAATTTGTCAACTTAATTTGTACAAATAGCGTGATTCGCTATATTTTTCTCTTCACATGGAGTGAAGTACCAAGAACGACATCTATCATTACCCTAAGAGAATATGATGTAATAGAAACGTCAACTTGACATCATGTTGTGATCCAATAGCCGTCCATATATGGCATGGGCTATTTAGTAACCCTTTGGGTCGTAGTTCTGACAGAAATGATGAAAATCATGTATGTATTCATCGTGGATTATTTCATTGTTCCACTTATAAGTTTATTGTATTTTTGTTCATTCTTCTTGTATTTATTATGTCTATCTATGATACGCTTTTTAATTTGTTTTCATAATTTTTTCCTTTATGCTTTACAATTTAGATTTCTGCATACTTGGAATATAAAACAAAAAGAGGAAACAAAAAGTAATGATTATTCATATACATTTTTAAAGAAGCAACCATTCTGAAATTATATAATTATCCTAGTTTACTTTTTTATTTTCTTAGTTAGTAATATTAAAATAGAAACATCATATCGAATTATTGCGATCAAAACTTTTATGTTATATCAATTATATACGAGCAAAAACTTGTTTTAGTCTCCCCTCCTAAGGAGCTCATCATCTTAATTCCATCGATGTCATTGATATAACCAAGTCCTTTAACATAGTCATCGCTCTTTACACCCTTAATTAATTATCATTCTTCAAACCATTATTGCCACTAACCAAAAAGGATCTTATAGCTTAAATCTACTAATTCTATTGCTTGACTGAATTAACACTAACCAAAAAGTGCCTTGGCTAAATCACCACCAACATATAATTTCCATTAGATGAAAACTGTGTCATTGATAGTTAGTGAAGAAATTTGAAACTTGTGGTGATTTGCAAAGGGTAAAACATGTTAACCAGAATCATTGTAACAAACGACTTTTTCCCATCATTTTTCTTTTGGCCTAATGATATTAACCAACAAAGAGACAAGATTACAATGATTTATAGTGGTTTAATCAGCAAATAATATTTTCTCACATTTTCATGAGTTATTTAGGGTGAAATTATCCTATGGACCCTACCTTCATTTTCATCCCTTTCTTTCTTGGATTGGGCATTATTCTCTCTGTTAACCTTAGAAGAAATAATGATATTTATTGGACCACAAAAAAGAACATAGCCAAACAGATCATCCATTCTTCGGGACACCTCTCTTCTGATTCTCCTTAATATACCTGAATACAAATAGAAATACTACTAACATGTGGATGCGAGAGAGAGAAAGAAATAGATAGATATAGAGAGATCCCGCATGGCTGCATCATTTCTCTCCACAGACTTTTGTCGAAAGCCTTGGGATCGAAGGCAGGGATCTTAATCATGGCATGGAGAAACTATAATGATCTTCTTGTAATTGCAGAGAGATAGAGAGTATAATTGTTTTTCACAAAAAAGTTTTGACAGAAGAAGAAAAAAATAAAATAAAATGAAAAATGTTTGTTTGAGGGCTGAATAGAAGGGTATAGTCATTGATATATGTTCTCTCTTCCTTTCCTTTCATTTCAAGGCTGCTTTAAGGAAAAAGATTGAAAGAGTAAAGAGGAAACTTGTATACGAAAAGGTGCTAAAAGCAAAGGAGAGTTGTGTGTTTTGGAGGCATCAACTGAAATACTATTTCTTTGAATCTAGAGAAAGAAAAGAAGCTGGGAGGGGGAGAGAGAGAGATTCGGTTTGGATATTAATTATTAATCTTGGGATTTTCAAGTGTGTTTAAAAAATTATCACTTCATTATGGAGTCTGCAAATATTCATCAACAAAAGAAAAATCATCCTCAAGATCATCATCAACTTGTTGGCTTTTCTTCTTTAGCTACTACTTCTTGCTATGGAGTTGGAAGCTCTCGTTCCTGGACTCCCGACACCATTTCGTAAGTCTTTCTTTCTCTCTCGTTATCTTTCTATATATATCTCTCTCGAAACAAGGAACCTTTAACAAAAAAAAACCCTCAACTGAGCTTTTTAAATAAACGAGTAAATCAATCAATTACGATTCTTGGGTTGGCTATACTTTCTTCAGAATCACTGTGGTTTATTTATTTTTTAGAACTTGGTATACTCTCCTTTATTTTACTTATATTCTTATGTGATTCGATGTGCATCAATTACACAACATACAATTAATATTTGAATGTGTTGATTAAAAATGTTTCGTCTTGAAAACTAGCGCTTGAAATACAAGTGATTCCCATAACTGATTTTGCAGAAACTCAGAGAGTATATACCCTAATGGAGGCATTATAAATACAAGGCAGGCGCAGCAAAACCAGAACCCACCCCCTTCGTGGAATATTTTTATGACTCCAGAAACGGGATTAATTCATTGGGATAATGCGACAGGAAATTTACAATCTGAAAGAGTTAAGGAAGAATTTTCAGATAATTTTAACCCTAATTTCACAGAGATTTTAAACAGCCAATCATCAAGCATCGAAGATTTTCGCTTAAATCCCTCGAACTACAATAAGAATAGCGAGCTAAGAGATTTGCCATTGAAGGATCTCAGCACGAAGCTTCTGCTTAGACCGTTTTCTTCTGGAAATCTTTTAAATGGGCATAATTTTTCTCGAGGAAATTTGTACTCCAACTCTTCAAGCACAGGAATTAATGGATCAACACAGAGTGGAAGGGGTTTCAGTCAGATATTTCCAAGTATAAATGTTTCAAATTTCAATCTGCAGTCAGCACCATTAGCGAATTCAGGCAATATGAACATGAACTTGCAGGCACTAGATCTCCTTACAGCTTCAAAATTTAACGGAAATTTTATGAGCCCCAATTCACAGAATGAATTAGGCCTCTACAAAGAAGGTCTTTGTTATGGCCTTGAACATATGCAGCACTCAAACCAAATGCCAATGAATTGCCCTAATAAGGTTTGCATTTCCTTTTCCTTCATTTTTCTCCAGTTTTCGTTAGGTAGTAATTGCTGTCAATACTAATTTGATAGAATTGCCATCATAATTGGATCTAGCAATACGTATATTTATGCATGTATACATAAATGCTGATAGATTTTGACGAAGCTTTAACAATACCCCTGACTGTTAGTATCTCTATAAATCAGTTGTTTCTCTTCATAATTTTTCGACTAAAACGTTATATACATTCCAGTTTTTCTTCAATGTTTCTATCTGGATTATATTTACTTCATATTAACGCGCAGATTTTATATATTTACGGGACGAAACTGTGTCAGAAATATCTATACAGTATCGGGGATAAAAGCACAGCCACAGAAAGTGTTTTTCTTCTGAGTTTTAATATTTTTTTCCCTATTTTTTGTTTGAGGAAAAAGAGAGAAGAAAATACTACCGTTTTGCTTTTTCTTTTTCTCCTTTCAAATAGATTGATATACCAAAAGGAAAGCCTTCCCTTTTCTCCATTTAAAGGCCTCCTCAGCTTTATGCATTTTTATGCACCTTTATACTTTTTTTTTTCCAGTAAAATTGAGTCCTTTTATCAATGGATTTTGCCAAGATAGCCATTATTGTTCTGATAAATTTTTCTTCTTTTTTTGGGTTTTTTTTTTTTTTTTTTTTTTTTTTTTTTTTTTTTTTCTTTTTTTGGGTTTTTTTTTTTTTTTTTTTTTTTTTTGGTTTGGTTTTAAAGACATCACCCTTTAGTAATGGAGTTGCAGAAGCAAAACGAAGCAACAATACCAAGGAGCCAAAGGCACCCAAAAAATCGCGTATAGAACCACGCGCTTCTTGCCCACCATTTAAGGTACCTGTGATCTTTAGCAATAGGGTTAATCTATATAATAGATATACACTCAATACAAAGATTCTCATGTTTCAACATTTAAATTAAGCCCCCGTTTTTTTTTTATTATTTTCTCATTAAAATAAAAAATATGACCGTTATTTATCACATCAAGTCACCAAATTTGAATTTTCATCTCTGATGTGGGGCTCGTAACGACTATATTTTTCATTTTCATTCTTCCAAAAATAAAAAACAAATGAGGCCTAAATTTACTTTGATGACTCACAGACTCGTGTTAAATACTAGTATTGCTAACGAATATTTAATAGTTAGCATTCATTTTAAAAATTAATTAATTAGCAGTCTTTAATAATTAAGCTCAGTTTTTTAATTATTTTTCGTGTCTTTTTTGAACTGAATTTATCAGGTTAGAAAAGAGAAATTGGGAGAGAGAATTGCTTCCCTTCAACAGTTAGTAGCACCTTTTGGCAAGGTAATTTTGTTTTTTTTTAAATCAGAAATTCTTCATACATCATAATTAACCTCACATTTAGCCTAAGATGATTTATTTTTCAATTCAAGAAAGTCTTGTAGGTTTATGTATTTTACAAATATACACGTCCTTGGTAATATTTTCGAAGGGGAATTCAAATATACATATGGATTCACCCTTACAATGCACTAACTTAGCAATTAAACATAATTTATATATCGTGATTTTCTCTCTCTTCAAGCTCTCGGCACTGAGATCCTGTTTGACCTTCATTAATTGTCATTCAATTACATTTCATTTTTCTCTCTCTTATTTTCAATCATACAATCTTACATATATTACACGTAAATCGAAAATTTTTCATTCTTTTTCAACTACTCATTTTTCAAAAAAACACTATTCAACTCATTTTCATTTTCACAAAACAGAGGTTGAAGCTCTTCCTTCTCCCAAGCCCACCCTAAGATGATTCGTGAACCATTTGGTCAAATTTCTTCTTCATATTAAACAACTTCTTCATTTGAAAAATGAAAGGAGGATCTGTGGGATGAAACAAATATAATTAGAAATCAGATAGAGAAAAATGTAATCTAAGATAAAGAGCTCACGTTGTTCTTCCACGTGTGTCAAATTACAATACAATAAAAATCTAACATGCATATTAAGATTTGTAATTATGGATACTAGCTAGATGATAAAATGTAACTAAGTTGATTTTCAAGAAATTAAACTTTACGTCTATTTGATCCCAATTTTAATGGGTTTAGTAGAATTCTGATTTCAAAATTGACATTGCTCTGGTAAATTGTGAGAAAATTTTTTCAAAGAAGCCGTTGAAATTTTCTTGGTCCAAAATACCCCATTCTTCAACGGATATTTACAAAAAAATGCCACGGGCCATCAATGCCTTGCTCAACATTAGATGAAAGCGTAATTTGGGAAGTTGGAAAAAATAATGTTATTCATAGTCGCTCATTGCGGTAGTCGCTCTATGTGGTATACACATGGCAGGTGATTATTTGATACATTAATGTAGTAATTTTTTACTCATTAATGTATCAAATAATCACTTACCATGTGTATGCCACGCAGGGCGACTGTCGCAGTGAGCGATTGTAAATAGCATTATTAAGTTGGAAATCAGGAAATGTGTACACATAGCATTACACTTCTCTCACATGGAGGGGGGTCCATATACAATAAAATATTCGTGGACACCCCCCATGTGACAAAGGTGTAATGCATTGTATACACCATGAAGTGTACACAGCATTTCCCTGGAAATCAATAACTAATATTAAACAACCAAATCAACAATTTATTTATTTATTTTCAAAATCTTTTTTAGTCTCATGGAAAGACAGACACTGACAAGTGGTCCCACGGCAGAAAAATGAAAATCTCATTAAAATGGGATTGAACGGACGCTTAATATGATGTTGTTAAGTCTAGTCACCGTTCATTTGTAAAACTTAGGCACACACCATATATATGTAATTTATGGTATGTTTGATGTAGATTTTTTAGAATATATTTTGTGAAAAATGACTTTTATCTGGAAAAAAAAATAGTGTGATTAAAAAGTATAAAAAATTTATGAATTTATGTACAAAATTATTTTATTAGAAGAACGTGATTAAAAATGAGTTTGAACAAAAATGAAATTTTAAGAATCTTTATCAAATAGTGCTTAATAGAATCCCTTGAATAGCTACTCAAACCTGTGATTTATGAGCATCCATGTTTTGTTCTTAAAAGTAGGCTAAATTTCATCCTTTAAAGTTATTTTTATGCTAACAAAAGTGTAATATTTTGAAAAGTAATTATTAACTTATTTTCCAAAAAGTAACTTTCGAAACCAAGCAAGCATGTTCTACATATGAGAAGTGAATGCTGAGACTTTAGTATGCATGTCCCCTAGCCACAGAATCTAAAAACCGTAACGTCTGGTGTAAAGTTAATTTTTACAGATAAATGAGCAGAATAATCTGCATGCTTAGGACATTACTTTTACAGTTAATTTTTTGGTAAAATAATTAATTACTAATGGTGCATAAATCGATGTTGCATGCGGGTGGAGAATATTGCAGACAGACACAGCATCCGTACTAATGGAGGCCATTGGTTATATCAAATTCCTTCAAACCCAAGTCGAGGTAAAACATTCTCCTCGGTATTTGAAGTTATGTTGAACTCATGTTTTCGTCTCATTCTATCATTCTAATACATACTTGTAAGGACTTTGCTACTAATACATAAGGTATCGTTTGATTCTATTTTTATCAAAATACATTTTTTTTTTCTTTCTTCTTTTTAAATACACATTCTTCATTAAAATATTATTACACGTAATAAAAAACTTTTGCTTATTTTTTATCCTCACATCCTCCATCAATCTACTATTTTAAAATTCATTTGCCACAAAAATAGGTGTCAAACACCTTCATAATATGTCACTGTATCATTTGTCGGTTTAAATTACACTCAATTTTTCATCCAATTTTTTTCCTCCATATCATTTATGTAAACCCTTATACAATTTTTATGTACAAATAGTATAATCCTACTTGTAAAAGTTTGCACGTCATAAAAACTTTGCCCAGATAAATCTACTTAATTAAGCTTCATTTTGGTTGCATACTTGCATATCTATAAATGATTTGTAAATTCAATGCAAAGTTAAATATTAATTTCAATACATATTCATATCATTATAATTGATTATACACATATTTTACAAAACCTACTACTATGTATTCATCTCATTATTCATATTTATAATTGATTTATAAATTTATCAAACAGTGGCTATTGCTTGCGTAGAGAAAGATATAAGCAAAAGAAGATTAGGTTATAATTATGGAAGATAAAATATAGATAAATGAAATTTTACTATCTTTGATAGATTAAGGCCTTGTTTGGTTTTGAATAAAAATCAAATTTTTAGTAGATTTTGAAAGAAAGAAAAAAAGATTTTGATGAAATATGTAGTTAAAAAGTTGATAAAAATTGTGGGTCTCATAAAATGTATGATTGAAAATAAGTTTGGAGAAAAATGAAATTTAACAAATGAGGACCAAATGGGCTAAGATCTCACAAAAATTTCTAAAATTCTAGGATTTATGTCTCTGAAACTCTATAAAACATTTTGAAACCCTATAGAAAAAAAAAATGTGTAAATTTTAATATTTCCTAAGAAAATCCAATGTCTATGTTTGGAATTCATTTTATTTTGTTAAAATTCTACTTTTTAAAGAATTGTATGATTGAAAAGTGAGCAGTGATTATATGTTTCATAAAACGTATAATTAAAATTATTATTTCAATTTGAAAAGTAATATTTTAGTGGAAGAAAATGAAACTCAAATGAAGCGTCAACTTTAGGACACTTTTGACTAAAGTATTTGGAAGATCAATTTGATTTGGAATGGTACTTCATTGTAGACTCTGTTGCGGATTTTAACTAAGAATTGACTTATTTGTGAGGCTTAATTAAAAATTAGCTTAATTGCATGGTTTGACCTTTATGAACAAAATGATATTTAACAAGTTTTTAGGGATTAATGTTAAATAGTTATTTTTCACCATTTAGGCTTTGAAGACAAATCATACAAATTTCCATACAGAATGGTAAAATAAATGCTTTGCTATATTTCCACAATCGACAATTTGCAATTTCACATAAATTTACATCGTTTTCGTAATTTTATTTTCCTTAAAAAGCATACTTTTTTACTTTTGCTAATATTTTGACTTGTTTAATTGCAGACTCTAACTGTCCCTTATATGAAGTCATCAAGGAATGAAACCGGCAGAGCAATGAAAGGGGTAAGCAACTAAGTGAACAAATCTTTTTCATATACCAACGGAAGTATATATGAATAAAATTAAATGCATTTAATCTCTTGAAATTTAGTTTTAGCGTTTCCTTTTGTTTCGTTCGCATAGAATTGTGTCTCTCTCTCCATATGGAGGAACGGAAAAAAAGAAAGAAAGAAAGAGAGATGATTTTGTTAAGTGATAAATCCACATCGTTAAATATACCTAAATACAAACTTACACATTAGAGTTTGAATTACCCTTAACAAGGTTGACGTTTTGGGATGAAACCATAAGAGCCACTAACTTTTGGAGGCATGTTAAGGAATAAATTCCACATTCTTAAATACCAAAAAATAAACTAATACATAAATGTTTGAAGTACTCTCCACAACAAGATTGATATTTTAAAATGGAATTTCAAATCTTTATATACCTAATAACAAACACTATTTCCCTTAAGGAGTATGATATATTATACATTCTGGATCAATGCAAGAGGAAGCAAAAACTTGATAGAATTGTCAGATTAATGAGAATCTGGGATCTTTGCTTAAACCCTAGCATCCCACTAAGGGCATGTCTGCAACCACAAAATTAGGCAGCGCAATAGATAAGATGGTAGTTTATTTTAATTGGCTAAAGCTGTTTTATGTCATTAATATACCCTTCTTATATATATCAGGATCCCACTGACAACGAAGACGAAGAACAGAAGCGAGATCTTAGAAGTCGAGGTCTATGCTTGGTGCCTTTGTCGTCCTTAACGTATGTAACTGATGATGGCGGCGGAACTGTTTGGCCACCGCCTCACTTCGGCCGAGCCACCTAGAATAACAACCCTTTGACTACATTTTGGGCAAGATGAAACAGATCCCTACTTTTCATTGATGGAGCAAACTTGGTCATCCTAAATTAATTCAGGGAGCAAAAAAAAAAGCTTTAGGAGTGGACCAAGTTTGGTCCATTAATAGTTCAGGTTTGTTTTATTTAGTACCATGTTTCTATTTATTGTTTTGTGTTAATTATCTTTACCTACATAATATTACTCTTACTACCAGTACTAAGTCTATATTTTGTTTTATTTCTTACCTCGGAATTAAGAGCTTGTGTCAAGGGTCAACTCTTTTGTTCGATTTTCTTGAAAAAGATGGGTTAATTAATTATTCTACATAATTTTTACTTGACTAGTTTTGTTATATGAACAAGATTTGGAGCTCTATAAGATCAAGTTTAGTATATTTTCTAATCAAGGTCGTATAGATTTGAAATCTATTATCAATTAGACTAGGTCGACTATTAAGTCAAACATATGGATACAAACCGCATTCTAAAATATTGAACTTGTTCAAGAAGGAACTAGCTCGCTCCTTGCTCTTAGAATTAAGAGCTTTTGTCAAGGTTCAATTCTTTTGATCGATTTTCTCGAAAAAGATGGTTAGTTAATTAGTCTATGTAATTTTCACTTGAATACTTTTGTTATATGAACAAGATTTAGAGCTCTACAATCAACTTTAGCATATTTTCTAATCAAAGTTATATAGATTTTAAGTCTATAATCGACTAGATTAGGTCAACTGTTAAGTCTACAAATCGCATTGTAAATTATTGAACTTGTTCAAGAAAGAATTAACTCGCACCTTGCTCTTATCTGTGAAAGCTACTCTTGAGAGTTTTCCACACTTGGTATCTCCATTTTGGTAGAAAATATTTTTTTTCGTCACCTTAAGCAATGAATTGGGGATTAATAAAGATGTTACTGAAGATAAACTTTTACCTAAGCTCTAACTGTCGATTGTTAGAGAAGAGAAGATACCTGAATGCTTGGAATGCCCACTTCCCAGATACTAAACGTCCATGTTTGTTGAGTTTTGTTAGTGAGTGCTTCCTTAACAAAACCTCGAGCCTCCTTTGCGCCGCCTTCCTCATAGAAGCCGCTGGGTTGACCCCGAAGGCCGAATTCTATGGCAGAGAATCCTTGTCACTAGTGACAGGAAAGTCTCTTAACTGCCATTAATAGAGTTTTGGTGACGAGCTTGTAACCAACGTTACATGACCAGTAATGGGTAGTCCGTCATAGAGATTTGAATTTTGGGATGAGCACAAGATTAGTGAAATCGATTGGACTGACTTCCAATTAGGGTACGTGATTGATGAGTTAAATCGAGGTCAATTTCTCAACAAGGGTAATAAATTCACACGTCATTCAATTTATGAATTTAGACCTATAAATAAATAATGAGACGTAGATGTACGACAATTCATTCTCAAGACATATAGAAAATAGTTAATCACTAATCAATATGGTACTTTTATGATGATTTTATAATTGTTTGGATTGATTTAAGCATTATAAAGCTTCGATTAGACAATTGCAGTATTGCATTTCATGTGTGTTCTTTTACGAGTCAATATCCAAATAAAAACATATGGACTGTGAACGATTTTTTACATCAACAAAGATAATTGAAGTGTTTTGTAAATAAAATTTTAGCTTGGTAAATCGAGATAAGGGGAAATTGTGAACTAAGATATAAGTACAGCTGAAAATAAAGATTGAGGATGTAAATCCTTTGTTTTGAAGAATAGGGACCAAGATGCAGCATATATATATCATGAAAGTTTGGAATCTCCAGTGCTATTTTCTATAGATATTTATACAAACCTATCCACAGTGTCATACTCGAAACGTAACATCTTACAATAATAACCCTTGCACATGTTTGGCTAAATAAACATTTAGATTAATTGGATTCAATTGAATGGTAAACACTCTTAACCTACTCTCATACTATACTTTTTGGTTCAACAAGGGATGACAAAACTCCCACTCCCAACCCGCCCAACATTGTCCCTACTCAGATGATTCCTCGTCCCAAATAATAAACGGTGCAAGAACGGGGATCATCGTCTCCCAAAATTATTTGAACCCATCTCGAATTATATTTTTTAACATTTTTATTTTAAATAATATTTAAAATTAACTAATAATATTTAAAATTAATTAAATAAATAAACGGGACAGCAAAATAAGTTTCTTTTTTTTTTTTTTATTCCCATTTTGCATTCCGAACTTCCTAACGGCCGACGAGGACCCCGTCCAGCTCAATTGCCATCCTTAGGATCAAAATTATATATGAATATCTTGCTAGATATGGCGTACGACTGTTGTTAAGAGTTACTAATTAATGAAGTGCTACCCATATGTTCCAAGGATAGCAACCTCCCTGTTTTCTAGGGTTTGCAGCCTGACGAAGGGCAAGATCAGGGACTCATGGTTGATGACTATAACTCAGACTTATTTTTACAGGTACATGTGCTTGTTTGTCTTCTATATCCTATAATCTGCTTTTGCTGTTCGTCCGAACTTTTATGTCATTCCAATCCTACTGCAGAGAATATGTATATGACGCAGCGAAAGAAATGAATTCAAGCAAAAACCTTAAAAACAAGAAATTTGAAAATAAACTCACGAATTTATTAATGAAAGATAATAAAAAAAAAATGAACTAAGCTTTTATTTATAAGGGTTTACATGGAAACGTAATTTTGAACAATTAAAAGTAATGAAAAAGAAGTTTAAACAAATTAGAATTGAAAAAAAAAAAAAAAAAAAAAAAACCCAAAAAAAACAAAGACAAAAATAGCGCCAAAACTTTAAAAAGTCAGTTTTTGAGGCCTAAACGAACTCAAACAGCCAAACTTCATCGTTTATCAAGGCGTAGCGATGAGTATTGTTCCCATCGTCGTTCTCCTTCCAAAATGGTCTTATGGGATCGATCTGGAATTAAGATTACGTTCTATTTCTACTAAACTCTTTTTTCAATATACTCATTATGTCCTACATCAGTTCCTTCCACCTCCGAAGAACTCAACCCTGAGTAATAATCTGGATACAAAGACTTATCATCTTTATAGAACTCATACAAATCTGTCACATTGAATGTACGAGAATATGTATAATACAAGATAACTAGAAAAACTTTGAGAAAACTATGATGAATTGTCTGTTCTCGATATCTTTGACTTTGGACTTGGTGAACACTTTTTATTTTGAAACTTTGTTATTTACTTATAAGAAACTTATACATAATTAAAATCTTTGAAACTTAGCCAAACAATGCCCTTCCTTTCTCCAAAAGCAAATCTTCTCATTATCTTTCCATTTCCTGTTGCCTTTTTCCAGTCCACTCGTCGGTCGTTAACTATCCAAAACTCTCCTCTCCCACTCCATCTTTCCATTTTCTCCCATAAACTATTTATAAGTTTTGTTTCATTGCAATCTCATAAAAGCACCGTAAATTCCTCTTAGTAGAAAGGAAAGGGGAAAAAAAAAAAAGGGAAATGAGTTTCGATGGTCACTCCTAATGTACATTTTGTTCAATTGGCCTTTGACCAAACTTAGAAAAATAAAAGGAGTTTTAATTATTTAAAAGTGTCAAAAGACTTATTTACCCTTAACTTGTAAAACAAAATTGAAGAAGAAATTGGATTTTTTTTTCTAAATTTGTTGGAACCATGACTTGAACCTTGGATTGCAAAAAGATATTTTAACTCCGCAACTATTACGGCAAATGATGGTCCTTTATTTTTTATGAGCAAAATATATATATTACATTTTAAAATATTATTTTATTTTCACTTCAAAAATAAAATTTAATTAAATTAAAATTTAACATAACCCACCGATTGAACCATTGACCCGGTGATTTTTTTGAATCGATCATCGAGTTGGCTTTAATAACTATACATTCATGTTCTAACACACACAGCATTATATTCCTTTAAATTCAAAAAATCTTCCTCTTCAAAATCATTTTCTCCTTAGAATTCGAACTCTTCTTGTTAAATTTAAGGCCATCTCTTTTTCGTAATTGATTTTCAGTGCACCCAAAGTTTTAACATTATCCACAACTTAGCAACTAGTCGAAAATAATTACCGAGTCATTTATTCATTAGACACCTATTATAACACACGAAATTTTTTAAATTAAATTTTAACGTTATATTTTGGAAAAAAAATGGGCAAAAAAATATTTTTTAAATTTATCTCTTATTTAGAGTCTAATAATTATATTTTAATAAATAGCGATGCATTATATCAATATTGTACTCATTTTAAAACTTGTAGTTAATAAGAACTATTCGACTCGAGAAAAAGTCGATTCGAATAAGCCAACACCAAAATATTGTAGTTTGAAGAAATCATAAAATATAACTTATCAACTTAATAAAAATGTGGAATGAAAATGAGCTGATGACACTGTTTCATTGATTTGCATAACGACATTTAAATCGTTCCTGAAACACAAAACGTCTTTAATATCGTTTTAGCATCAAGTACATTCTGCTTAACTGATTTGTATAATGACATTGAACTCGTCCCTGAAGTACAAAAAACGATGTATATGTCATTCCGATATCGAACACACATTGCTTCACTATTTAACAGGTTTAAGCACACGCTATAGAATAGGTAAACATCGTTTATGTCTTTTCAATACAATTTTCGATGACAATGATATTGTTCCTATTCAATCGTAATTATAATGTCATACATATCGTTTCAGGAGTGATTACACTAGAACATTATAACTACGATATTAAATGTAATTAAAATTTACATATAATTGACCGTGAACGATCGAATCGTCGTTTTTATAATATCATTTTAGTTAAGATTTAAACTAAAGAGATATCAATGTTATCAAAATTGTACTGAAACAATAATAGTATCATTATGTATCAAACCCACAAAATAAGACAACGACATCCAAATCGTTATAGTACAAATTTAATGAGTTTGAAATCATTCCAATTCAAATCACAATGATAACGACATAGATATCATTTATTTTCATATAAAACGATATTATATCGTTCTAACTAAAAATAATGGTCCGACCGTCCACAACCATCAGTCATGCCTTCAGCATACGTAGAATGATCGAAAAATGTCATTAAGTGGATTGATACCGCTTGAATAACTTAAAAAGAGCGAACAAAAATACTTTCTGTTTGATTAGTTCGAACGTAGTATACAATCATGAGAACAAAAATGTTCTCATAGTTTCTTTTGAGGGA